GGGGGGGGGGGGGGGGGGGGGGGGGGGGGGGGGGGGGGGGGGGGGGGGGGGGGGGGGGGGGGGGGGGGGGGGGGGGGGGGGGGGGGGGGGGGGGGGGGGGGGTGGTTGGAGAAAATTTTTGAACGATAATTATGACTTAAAGCTATGTGAAATATTAGCCGTTACAGTGAGTTAATTAACCACTTTACTTCTGTTTTCAAGTTGTGGCTGGACTTGGAGTGTACACAAAGAACTCAAGAGTTTGTGGTGGGGGTGCCTTAAAGCATCGATGGTCTAGGTGGCATCCTAAAATTTCATTGCTCAATGTCCATAAACATTATTTTATATTTAGACATAATTCTTGAATGAGCCTGAGCTGTTCTCTTGTTGTATTGCATGCAAAAGATGGAAGGTTGGTGCATTGTATTTGTTCATCATAAAAGGGAGTGTCTGAGACCAAACTGGGATGATCGTGAAGATGGGTTCAAACTTGAGATTGTTCCTATCAAATTTTACATGCTATTTTGAAAAAAAACAAGAAGACAGTATGGTAACAGAGCCTAGTGTAGATTGTAGGAATTAAAGGAACTTAGAACTTACACTTCATGGGGCATAGAATTACAGAATGTTTTCTCATTGGAAAGTATTATTTACAATGACGATTTGTTCTTTACCATTAATGTTTGTTGTGGTAGCCACTTATGTTTTCTCCAAGTTCAGATAAGCCTTTTTTGTATGTGGACCAAAAGCTTAGCTTTCAAATATGGACCAAGGAAATATCAGAGGATTGGGCGATGGTTGGATGAGAATCCTCGATCCAAAAGAAAGCTATATAATCATGATTTATGATTTCAACTTTATCCTAAAGTTTCTGAATTTAGTAAAAAATTTCAAATTTCTGTATCTTACCAGGCATGAGCTGGATGAGTCAACAACTGTGTCGGGCTGCCTAGTTTCAAGTTCCCTTTCAATTCATTTCAGGTGCGTAGTGTCCTCCCCTCACTCCACACATTTTCCCCCGGTTTATCAGCACATGAACTAGAATTGGAATTATGCTCACAGGTCTAATCCGATTGACTTGTCATCAAACACATAAGCACAAAAGAAAAGAGAAAAGTAGTCCACCCCTTTATTTGCTGACTCCATTTCTAGATATTTGAACGACTTAAAAAGGCAGGCAATTTTAGAACCGCATATAGTATCCATGAAGAATTTGAGGCAGAGATTGCAGTTTAGTTGTATATGGACCGACAGAAATAGTGGCACTAATTTAACATGGTCATGAAGTTTAGAGTTTCTAAAACCATACATGTAATCTAAGGTTGTCCTCTTGTCAGACATATGCCATGCCCTCCCCCCCTGAACTTCACGTGTATGTCCTCATTTTCACGTGTACAATGTCTTCAATATGGCTTTTGCCTTTTAAGACAAAGTTACTCGGTAGTCTGGGGGACCCCCCCACCCCCACCTTTCCCTTCGTTATTTTGGGTCCTTCCTCTTTCTTGTGGAATCTGTCTTGGGAACATCTTGGCTTCCTCACCTTCCTTACGACTACCTCTCTGAGAAAAAGAAAAAGCTGAGAAACTTTCTTGCTTTCACTCAGCGAACAGTTCTGTGATTGAGCGAGTTGTTTAATTTTGATGGGACCAAAAGCGCCTCACAGATTATCAAAGATCAGATTTATTTATTTATAATATTCCTTTTAGCATTATTCATCTCTGGTGGATTGTTGGTTTTCAATTAGAAAATAGCAAGATGATGGGACCCTGGTCTTATTTGCCGCCTGATAAGTCATGGCCTTTGATTTTTGGATCTTGTGGGTTGGTCCAAGTTTAAGCTGATCCCATCCATCTTTCCCTTTAAGAACATCCATATGTTTCTCAGAGATTTTTCCATGCCAAGTATGAACAAGGACTGTGACAGTGAATGAAGCTACTTTTAATCACTGGAAGGTAGACACGAAGAGGGAAACTGAAGAAGATATGAAGATGAAAGCAGGTTCTAGAATTGAGAATTCCAAGACAAAATCCTCATGTAAAGAAGCTACAGGATTTGTACAAGAAGGAAAAGGTAGGCTGTATATATTTGGTAGATGTGTTGCTATGCTTCTTTGCTGGCATGATTGAATCAATCATCTGTATGAATCCCTCATTCATCTGCTCTTGTTAGTGATCTTTGGTCTCCTTTTTCCTGTTCCCTCTCGATCAATCTGTACATTTTACTGATATCTTTTAATACGAAGGCTGCTGGGCTGCTCATTACAATGTAACAGCCAAAGTTCATCGCTAGCCGATATTGTATTCTTTAAGCTTTTCTTTATGAGCTTCTCCTTGAAGTTTTAAAATGCGTCTGTTAGGAAAAAGTTTCCCTCGACTGACGTGGAATCTCACATACAATCTCTTCATATCGAGAATGAGACTTGATTTTCATTATTATATGATAATTGCGACCATTATCGATATTGGGATGATTAATGAAATCAAGCCGGAGACAACTTTTAAAAATATGTTTAAATTGGCAAGTTTAATAATCTAAGATTGGGTAAGTTCTTTCTTTTTTATCAAACCGTGGGCCTGCATATTCTCGTTTGGGCTCAGTTCCGTCTAGGCCCAAATCCAAAATTGCGTTGGTTACGTGTGTGTATATATATACACACACATTCATTTACATTTCCATTAGTAAAGAACATTTATTAGTATATACTTCACAATCTTTTAAGTGCTTTCAACTCCTCTAAGAGAAGTCGTGAGAGTCTTGTCGTCTTGTCGTCTTGTCGTCAGGCGGGGTATTACTCTCGGCTCTCTTAGGACCCCTACTATAATCAAAAGAATAAAAGACGAACACTAGAATGAGAAAGACTTGTAGATTCATGAGATTGAACGACACACTTGCAAGTACTTTGAAAGGTATCAGTATGGATGCAAAGCTGAAGCTAGAGCTTTCCTTGTTCACCTGTCGGGTTAAATATTCACTCTTCAAAGTTTTTACTTTTACTTGAGTACAATTTAACTGACCATGAGATCGAACGTTCAAACTCTCTCTCAGGGATATATATGTAATTGTTAATGGTTATAAATACATAAAATAAAATAAAATAAAATAAAAAATTCCAAGGACCATCTTTTTCTCTGAAGGAGACGTACTGTTGAAACCATTATTTGATGGAGATAAAACCCCCACCAAGGCCCCTAGCCATAGTTTCACTCAAACTCCCACGTGTTAAGCACAATAAAAATGAGCTCTTTTTTTTTTTTTTCCCCTTTTTTCCCTTTGGATCATTTTCTTCAATAATTTCAACAAAAAAAAAATAACCACATAAATATTGTTTATTCTCATTAAATTATTATTATTATTATTATTTAAAAAAAAAAAAAGGAAAAGAATTGAGCTTGGTAGCTCATTCAATGAACAGACAATAAAGGCAAATTAACAACCCAGCTTCCTTTTTTCTTTCAACATTTTCCAATTGATTTTCTTAAAAAAAATAATGTAAAATAATGTTTCTTTTTCCATAAAGTTTGGATTATACTAAAAATGAAAAAAATAATAAGTAACATTATAATATGGAGATGACATAGAGTACCAAGAAGATAACATCATTTGTGGAAAGAACATCATAATATTGTGGAAACTTTCATGTCTTTTCAAAGCCAATTGAGCCGCCCCCCACCAAAAAAGAATAATTTTAATTAAAAAAAAAAAAAACAATCCCCTTAAACGGAGGTGATAAAGACGGATCGAGCCTTATAAAGTAGGCAAGATTGAATATTTGATTAGAGAGTAACAATTGAGATGGAATATGAATCCATTGAGAAAATCTGAGCATAACCTTGATAAATAGACAACCAAAACATCTTATATCTTAATACAATTTGATCGATTCGAGTACAACAATCGAGTTTTCACTAATTCCTTCACCGTCATTAAGTAGCTTTCAATGAGATTGTCACGGGTTTGAATAAAAATGGGTAGCTGGCCATAAGAAAAAGGAATTAAATAAGAAAAAGGAATTAAAGTACATGAAATGATATGAATTTTGTAGGGTAATAAATTGATGGGTTGATAATGAGTCGACTGTCATATTATTCAGCTCACCTTATCTTTAGGAGTTATCTATCCTCTATGAAAGTAACCCTAAAACACAAATTTTGTACTTAGACAGCTAGGCTTTGCATTATCTTGTCAGTACAAACCAGTCAGTTTCAGCCCTAGCTCAGTACTACACACACACAAATAAATTAATAATAATAATAAATAAATAAAAGAGTGGATAAGTGGGTTGGGAGAGAGAAGGAGGTGGACATGTAAAAATGGAAAAAAAAGACAACTTTTTTTGGTGAAGAAAATGAGTTGAGCTAAGTAGGACATGTAAAGATGGTTGGGAATTTGTACTAGATATAAATAGTTAAGTTAATGATTACAAAATTGAACTAAAAAAAAACATTCAATAACGTTTTGGATCGACCTGTTCAAAAAATTCGATGACTTGAAAAAACTCATCGACCCAATTTGACCCGCATTGTTTGCGTTCAGTTTCCAATAATACAAGCATCAACACGTGAATTCTCAATCATTTCTGTATGGTATCTCCTTCTATCTTACCTTTTACCTTTGATATGCATCTTCCAATGTTCAAAATTATTTGATCAAATTTTGTGACTCCCTCGAAACGTATTGGCTTTGTCGATCAAATGACATATGAACCCACGTAAATAATTACGAAATCAAAATTATATCTCAACCCCACTTTACCAACAATCACAAAATTAACGATAACGAAGAAAAAAGCGAAGTTCGTTTAAGCTCCCTACCTCTCTCAAGTAGACCTCTTGTGTTTAGAATGATGTTTGAGGTAAAATCATAGGAAACACAGACAGAATTTTCTTGAAAACTCAGTGTGAGGCACACAATAGGGAGTTGTCGTGTTCATGAGTAGTGTGGTTGAAGAACTAATAATGGGCTGAAGCCCAAAAGAAAGCAAATCATGAAGGGGAGAAAGCAGTAGCCTCCATTTGTGTCCATAGCATTGCCATTTTGAGAATAAATAAGAGGAAGAAATGGTAATTGGTGAGTGGCTAGGGCTGCAGCACAAGGTCTTTGTATGAACAGTGATCAAAGTACAAAGGGGGCCATCATAAGTTGATGTCACTCAAAGACAAAGACAAAGGAAAAAAAAAAGAAAGAAAAGAAAGAGATAAGCACGCATGGAGGTAGGAGGTAGGGCTCTCTGAAAGGCAATACCAACAACAACAACAACATTCTCTTCTTGTGCCGTGGTGAGTTTGATTGATGGACGCTTAAGGGCGAAGATGTGTGAGAGAGAGAGAGAAACCAAGAAGGTGTTTCTTCTTTTTGTGGAAAGTGACATTCCCCAATTTCATTTACAAAAACACCCCAATGTAATGTCTTCTCCATTTTCATCCTCCCTTCCTCTCTTCCACTACCCTCCCCTCTTTCACTCAAATAATTGTCCTTTCCCTTTTCAATCTTAGACATAGCCACCGGGACCTATTCAACCCAACTTTATCGCTCATCATTACTTAATAAAGCTCGTTACTCACGAATTAATGGATGCAGTGTTTCGCTCACTCTAGCTCAGTTATTGAATTCATGATTCGATTCATCTTTCTATGTAAAAAGTTGAGTAATTTATGGTTCGATTTATCTTTCTAAGTTAAAAGTTTTTTAATTCATCTAATGGGTCGGGAAGTTTAAAACTTTAAAACCCATTTGAGATTTTAGGTAAAGTTTAAGTCTTTATAGTTCACCTATACAAATCTAGGCTTTTTAACAAGAAATTTGATTGAGACAACATAAAGATTGGATAGACTAACAAATTTACGCTTCGACATTCAAGAAGGGTATAAATGTTTCAATCACAAAGAGTCGTATTCAAGTCGAGGATTAAAATCGACCAAAACCATGATAATGGGTCATAATGCATACTAAAACCAAACCCTAATTAGGGGTAGAAGGAGCCATGCAAGAATTGGAGAGTTGTTAAGGCAAGAGGTCAAGTGTTTAAGAGGAAAGAAGTTTAGTGGGGTGTGGGGTTCAAAACAAGACCAGACCTAACATCCCTCTTGTCAAACATGCTATGCTGCAAACCACGTGAAAAAGCCCACTCACTCACTCACTCACTCACTCACTTATATAACTTACCATAATATGGCTATAAAAATGCAAACTTTATGCTCAAAAGGAAAGGGGTTTAGAAAGAGATGGTTCCTTTCCTTTGTCTTTCTTTACCCATTAAATAAACGCAGCCTTCTCCTCCTCCTCCTCCTCCTCCTCCTCCAAGCTGAGCTCCCTCCACTGTGCTGTCTTTCTCAACCCCTACTCATAGCTTGTCCTTCAATTTCACTTCTTCTTTTTTTTTTTTTTTTTTTTTACACAC